GACCAGAACGCCCCCTTAAGATGCTCAGTCACTGAGAAATGTTTTTAGGGTTCTGTTCTGGCGAAATATTCTCATTGATCACGACCAGGAGTCTTGAAAGGTTTTCAGTTGCGTGACAGTGTGACTGATCCTTTCTAGCATATAGGTTTCCTTGCTTTCGCGTAAGTTTTATACGGTTGATATAGCAACGAATTTTTTGTCACTATAGTGGGAATTGAGGCGAAAAGAAACCAGCTAAAATCGGCCAGTCTTCGAGATTGCAAAATTCGCTTTAATAGGATAGAAAAGAGCGAAACCGATCGAGATAAGGAAAATCACCAATGTACAAAAAGAACGACTCCTCGAAACCAAAGAGCTTTTATACTCGCTTTAGAGACCTTGATTTCCTCTCAGTTTACTCTAACATGTTAGTGTTACAAAACGTAAAATCAAGATGCAAAACAGATAATTCCGTTTTTTGGTCACAGACCTTTGTCACGCTTTCGCCATGTTGGATTAAAACCCGGCGAGCTTGCTAAGCCAGCCATGCATTATTTCTAAGATGGCGCAACACCATTTCCATTTGCTATGGTCAGTAAAATAATGCCAATTAACCGATGGAGATAATGTGACTTCAGATAATATAAAATGTAGTATTGTCACAGCAGTCGTGAATTCACTACCGTGCATTAAGAGTGTTATTGCATGGCTGTGTTACTCAAATTAAACAAAGTCCCGATTTCCGACTACGTAAGTAAACCGGACAAAATGTGGGGCATTGTACTTCTTAATTGCCCTGTACAGCTTGGAGTTAATTTCGCGGGCCAGACGGAGAAATAAACTTTGAAAATATGTTTAGACGGTTCAGAGACACGTAAACTTCTTGTTACTGAAGGTGAATGATGTTTTTTAACTTTTTATGATAGAGATGAATCTTGAGATGTTAATTGCAAGTCGATGATATCTGCTATATTATATGCTTTTGTAATGGTTGTTTATTAGTCACCAGTAAAGTATTTTCACGACTGCTTAAGCCTCGGGGTAAAATTCTAATGTGCCGATTAGCTTCAATTAATTTCAATTTTCGCCGTTTTTCGTTTGGCACTTTGTCGGCAAGTGTCCCCATTTGTGGCATTTAGTGCAATAACCCATTTTATTAGAGTGTGCATAGCGACATTTGGACGATCCATATTTGCAATTACTCTTGAAGTAACATTCTTTGTCCCTATCAGGATTTCTAAAGAACTTCTTTTCATCTTCGCTGTGATAGTACTTGCAATTAAGCCCTCTCTTGCAGTTTGAACGGTCTTCGCATGGCGCAGAGTATTGTTGGTTTCGTCGCCTTCGCGTCTTTCTTTGAACAAGTTGGAAGTCATCTTCTTCGCCACTTCCACTAAGTTCATCTATGTCATTGTGAGATGGATCATCACTTCTCACACTTAGCTGGTCGTCTACATTCATTAGTGCTTCATATTTGTTTGCGATGCAAATTTCAGCACTTCGATCATACTCATTACGGTAGGAGGGATAATTGACAATTTTCCAAGGATATTCCTGTTGAAGTTTCTCGAAGATCTTGTCAAAATGGTGTTCAATGCCCTTTCCATCAACAGATTTCACTTTACCAAAGATCAGAATCACATCCACGTAATCTGTCGGATCCAAGTCGTCTGGTCCAATCATACAGAACTGAAATGGCCAGCCTAGCTTCTCACAGAGACCATTTTGCCATTTCTCATCAGGTGCAAAGTCGATACCTTTAATGATCGCAGACCGCGACTTTGGAATGTCTTTTTCTCTGAATTTGAAATTAGTAAACGTGACTTCTTCTAGGCTCGAATCCAGTGTATTTATTTGGACAAACCCAGGCTTCTCGTCTGCCAGTTTTTTGAGTGCGCTTGAAATACAACCTTCCCACATCCAAATTTCAGTGGACCATTTCATTTTTATGCTCTCGTTAATTGCTGGTATCATGTCAGCATCTCCACTCACAATTACTATCTTTCCCTTGGTGACACTCCTATCAGAGACTAACGCTGTAATATCCGCCACCATCTGATGATCCACTTGCTTTTCCCTATTTGTGATGGTGCTTCTCTCAGTGGTGATCACCTTCCACCCACGCTCCCTTATTTTCTGCCAGACAGAGTCTATTGGCGGAGGTTCCGATCCATACAAGGTTCCCCAAGCAACATTTCTCCCATTTGCAACGACGTCTGTTACTTTTCCAATGTCTAAACGGAGTCGAGGATCTTCAATACATTTTAGCTTTAACTTTAAGGCAGCACGCTTCTTTGCTTCGATCCACATGTTTGAATCATCGACATGAATAAAGACGTGTTCGTCTCCTTCATTTTGAGGCCTGACTGGCTGTAAACTCTCCGAGCAGCAACTGCATTCTGTGCCATCGCAATCGTACATTTGGTCAGCAAAACAGTTAAAACAAGTCATGTGGTTTGATTTACACTGCCAGAACTTATGATATCTCGTGAGATATTTGTCGCATTTGCAACAATTTCCCCTTCCAAGGAGATCTAGTAGAATGAGAAAGAAATGCAAATGCATCACTCAACATAAACATTACCGGGGTTTTCCCCTGTCATATTAACTCTGACATCGAACACGCGATCTCACATCTAGGATTAAATTTGGAAAATCAAGTGATCGGAAACGTTTGGGTGAAATATGCTGCATGTCCGGCCCAAAATTGACGACAACGTCAAAAGAGTCGGTTTGAAACAGAGGTAAAGGGGTACCAGTCTCCCAAGCTTATTCGCTAGGTTGAGACGAGGTCAAAGAAGATTATAACTAATATTTTTCTATCGAAGTAAAAGTAATCGTAACTATTCCCAGATGCAGTCTTAAAAAAGTTCGTCTCTTTCTATGGTAAACCTACTTTGTTTTATATGTTATGGGAAAAAAGACTCGTGAGATTTATATGACTAAGTATGCGCACCGAAGAGTGCGAACAAAATGGCGGCAGATCCTTTGTGTAAATGATCGTCTTGCATGATCACAATAATTAGCTCTGTGTGTCAAATATTAAGGTCCATAAACTTTCTCTAGTATGAAACTTAAGTCATAGCGACGACACAGGGCAATACATTAAGAATTGAACCGTGAAGGAAACAGCCCATGACAGCCTTTTCATTCTCATAATTAGCATCCATTTCAATGATATCGTTTATATTGCAGTGATTTTACATAGTTTTCCACATTAGCGGTTACAATTCAATCTCAGGTTTCCTTCTGACATGCATCACTTCGAAGTAGCATTTTTTGAGTAGTCCGGATAGAGAGCTAAAGAGGATTGGTTTTTGGACCGGCATGGCATTGCAATGATGGCATCAGAAAGTTAGAGATACATTGAAGGAGAAGCGTCTCCCACTTTTATCTAATGTCGTAACAAATTTAAGGGGAATTCTAGAAATTACCATAACTCGTATAAGTTCCATCCTCCATAGCTTGATTCTAACCAAGGAATCCTCTAATAACCAATATTATCCGTAAAGATACTAAACGCAAATACGTTTATGGAACGTTTTCACCTCAGACAATATCAAGGTTTCACCTGTTTGTCAAGTTTAACCAGTTTTGATAACACTTTCGATTTGCAATTGACGTCGACATATTTCTTAGAAAAACAGGAAATGATCCCAGAATAGAGCATGACGTGTTTTAAAAGTCAACATTGTTCATCATAATCACTGGTTACTGCATAAGCAACGATGCAGAAATTCTAACTCTTAGACATTAATAACATCTCTATAATTATCGGAAGGAAGCGAATCGCTGCTAATCATTTATTACCAAATCACGCGA